AGCGCAACTGCTGATCCGTAGTCCGCAGAGCTGTAAGCTGCAAACACGGCTCTGGCAATCAATTCGGGGCGGAAAGGACCTGACGACTATGAGACGCTCCAAACAGCATTCAAACAACTTAACCTTGCTGCGGCCGGATGTTGTATGGAGTTGCGCGGGGAATCGACACTGTAAGACTGTAAGAGGTTCTGGTTCGGTTCTATCTCAACATATCCCGGGTCTTGAGAACCCCCCGAAGATGTCCTGCAGGTCCAGCGCCTGGCTCCGTCATCACAAACTCCTGTGGGCGCGTCTGATTCAGATGCTACAGGTTAAGAACTTCTGTCTCAGGCCAACTTGAGGTATCCCCATTGGCTCGAGCAACCGCGGAGGTTGAGCTTTTGGCTTTTGGGATCTCCTCAAGGTGCCATGTGACTCGAGGCCACGCGTGAAACCACGCGTGAAAAGCTTTCACTTAACACGTTGACGCTGGCACACTGATGCTACGAAAGCACCGTATACATCACAGCCAGGATCAGGAAAGGTGCTGGCAACCGGAGCGGCCAACTCACACTCAGACAGTACAGGTTGATCCCGTTCACAAAGAATCCGTTCTCGCTGGAGACCTCTGGCCCGCAAACGTCATGATCCACCAGGTTCGAATCTGCATCGAAGGTCTCTCTCTCCAGGATGAAAGTGCCACCAGCCACTGTGCCGTTAGGGTGGAGGGTAACCAGCTCATCTCCCACCGATCCCAAGTGTGAATCCTTTTTGACGATAGAGCCGCTTTCTACGACAAACAGCTGAACATCATCAGAAACGTAGAGCGGAGGCCGTCCACCAGACAGAGTGTACTTAGTGTACTTGAGGATTTGACCGTTCGAAGTCAAAGACTCCTCACAGTATTCATCGCGGTAAGAGGGACTGAAGGAGATTGCAGCGCTGGCCAAGTCCCACCCCTCACGTGAGCGTACAAGATCTCCCTCTTTCATGTCTTTTACCTGCTTCATTGAACCATCTGGCATGTTGACCTGTGCAAGGGGACGAAGGCACTTGCCATGCCGAGAGGGCTTCCCTGCTTCGCTGAAGTAGCTCTGCAGCAGAAACACCTGCTCCCAGCATGGACTCGCTTGGCACTCCTGGATGTGTCGACGAATCACTCGTGCACGAGTAGTGGCATCGGACTTGTGGAGGAGCTTGAGTCCTCGGGAACGTCCAACTCTGGAGAGGACGCCTTGAATGATCTGAGAACTGATGCCCTTCTGGAACAGGCTCGGCAGCTGTGAGGGTATCACGGTATCACCTTCAAAGGTGACCCTGGCAAAGTGTGCGTCCATCAGGCCCTCGGCCTCCGAGCAAAAGTCTGAGAGCGGAGGGTCTGGCGTCTCCTTCACGAGATCCGCAGGGCCAAAGGCACGCTCAGGGAAGTTGAACATGACCTGATCCAGTTCGTGGCACAGCTCCTCATTGTACTGGCTGTTGCAACACATGTCGAAGCCCAGCCGCCAGGCGGACCAATTTGCTTCGTAGAATAACAACGCTTGATCTGCATCGTCACGGCTTAGGCAGTGAGTGATCATTTTGTGACACCCGGCATGACGTTCGGAGGTGAACGGATTGCTGGTGTGCAAGTGACGCTGCAGCAGCTTTGCCCCAGCCGCGCTCTGCGGCGCAGAGCAATGGCCTGAATCTGAGGCGGCCGCCACAGCCATGGAGAGGAGATACATGAGACGCACCATTGCGCGAACGGTATCGAGAACGAAAGTGGACAAGAGCTAGTGCTTCGTGGCTCGGCTGAAGTTGCAGCAAACA